CCCCCCCCTTTTTTGTTTTGTGTGTGTTGTTTGAAGTCTAGAGTATTCTTTCCACATTAATTCTACTCACTTTTGTATCCGTTTTTGATATTTTGCCCGCGCTGAGTTATTCATTTTTTCATGCTGAATCTAACCATATAAAGAACATAAATTGTGGATTAACGGTTGGAAAGTTACAAGTCAAATATGGCACAGAGGTCGAAATTGGAAAACAGAGGAAGTTCATAAATTTGTCTTTGACCTAAACGTGATAAATGGGTGATAAAGTGGCGATACAGTGGTGATACAAGAGTGATACAAAATGTTGATTGTGTTTATCTTTGGTTTTTGTTTTGTTTCATTTTGTTTACTTTTCTTTACTCATTTCTAGTATTCGATTTGCATTTTACCTTGGTATTGTGTTAAATAAGTGTTCTTTACGCACTCAAACTAGACCTTTGTATAAGCCTCCAATTCCTCGCAGAGACGATCCTGTATTTACAAATCTATACTCCAATAGATTCGTACACTTACATGTATTTTTAATTGGATGATTAGCACATTAATTTGTGCCAATTATTAACACAACATATATCAACAAAATTCTTGTGTGTGCAAATGTTGTTGTGTGATTTATATGATTTTCATTTGGGGTACTTTTGAAGTCTCATATTTTTTTTTAATGAAATTGGAGGGGGGGTGGGGATTGTGGTAAACCATAACAAGCAACTAAAAATTAGCAAGGGAAATCTGACAAGAACGAGAGACCCCTAAGAGGTCATCTACCAGAGCATCATTAGCCCACACAGGATCACTATCAAAATGACAAATGCCTAAGTCCAGGTTGTAGCTCCACCTTGCAAGGCAGTCAGCAAGGCAATTCTTTTCCATATATATATGATGTAACTGATAGTTCTCAAATTGCCTTAGAAGAGTGCAGCAAACCAGTTAGTGGGTGAAACCGAGAGACATCAGTTTGTTGGATAAGTTGTACACCAAGAGTTGAGTCCATTTCAAGGATGAGCCTATTGATACCTTTATCCAAAGCCATTTTAAGACCAAAAAATAAACTCCATAGTTCAGCTTCAATTATTTGACCCTTTCCCAAGTTCACCACAAACCCCTTAATCCATTCTCCAGTACAACCACGAAGAATACCGCCAGCACCAATATTCACATTCAGTTTAACCACTCCAGTACCAGGAAATTCCCAAGCCATGAAAATCTGTATTTTCTCCCCAGCTATATTACCACCACAAGGCCCCTTACTCCATTCAGAAAGAGCATATAAGATGATTTGCCTGGTGTTAGAAGGAGCAGCATCATCTTTACTTGTGAAGTTTACTATGTTTTCTTTAAGTTCCCCTTTTCTGTATATGCCTAAATGATTCATGTGTGAATCCTTGTTACTGAGAATACCCATTTGTTAGTTTAATGCATACTGCTCATCAATTTCTTTAAACTGAAAACCCCTTCATTCTACATGTAAGAGATTTTTATGTTTTTTTTTAGATTGATGGAAACAAAAAAAATGAAAGTAATATTATTGTGTTGAAACTGAGGAACGCAGAAAATAGGCAAGGTTCCATTGCAATGGAGAGTGCAATGTTGCTGAATATGTTTCAGTTGGTGAAGTGGATTCCCCTGGGGTAGATAACTTCAAGAAAGTCTCACTTCTGCCCCTATTGCCTTGATTTTGGTTATTGTTGGATATGTGTTCCCTCTTGTAACTCATAATACTGGTTGTTTGTTCTCTGTCCTTGTAGTTGGTGACTCTTAGGAGGAGGCTTCGTTTCTTGGAACTCATTGTTATTTGTGTCACTCTCCCTTTGTGTTTCTAGAACATCCTGGTTATCTTGTAATCAAGTGATGTTGTGTTACTGATATTTGTTTCTTAGGTCATACCTGCAGAGAATATAGTTGCAGCATTTCAAGGGATTGGAAGCACAAGTGTTCTTTGAGGGTACAACAAATCAAATGTGTTAACATTAGGACAAGTGAATGAGCATTTAAATTTTGAACTTTGAACTACCACATAATTTCTATGGTAGTGATGTGTTAGTTTTATCTCAAGAGTATTATTGTAGACAAATGCATCTCACTGCATAATTAAGTATGGATTTGTTTAAAACTTAATGGCTTGTTGTGATATTGTTTATGCAAGTTCATTGGTTGTGTTTTATTATGAAATGGGCCTTTCAATTGATTATAGTTGATAATGTATGTGTCTGGAATCAAACCAGTCCTATTCTTATATTATTCTTCAGATTTTTTTACTTATGAACCATTAATACACATTCTTTAGAGTTTAGACCCCATAAGCTGGGAGGATGGGGATGAGACAAGCCAGATCTGGCCTTTGTCATTCGGCCCAGGGGGTGGAATGCTGGAGTGGTGGGGTGTGGTGAGTAGATATCGAGGTGGGGAGGGGATGAGGAAGGGGGCTAGGGGGTGATCCGGCAGCGCACTGCTCCATATATATGTCTTTTGTGTTGTGATGGTGGGTGTGGCTGAGAATGGTAGTTTGATCGTGAAGAGGGGAGAAAGATAGGTTCGAGAGAGAGACAAAAAAAGAATGGTGTTTTTGTTGGTTTTTTTTTTAAAGTGAATTTAAAAGTTTTATTAATATTTTATTCAATTTAAGAAAATAATGTGGGCCCCACCTGTACCACGTCATCACTTAACAGATTCTCTAACGGCAGAGCTACATTGCAAAAAATTTACAAACTAAGGGTACATAATGCGGGGACAAACATGCATTAAGGGTACAACTTCAAGGTATCAAATTGATATTAACCCTTATTAACATTATACTATAACAAAATGAAAGTGAGAAATATAATGAATTGTGTTGTCCGCATATATCAGATGATTTGTATTTTAGTATCACATTATAATCTCTATATGGATTGATTGTATTTGCATGGTTATGTACACTCATACCATTCAAAATATTGGTCATATAACGTCTATAATGATATATGGTCTCATTTCCACAATAATTTTGGAATAAAACCATGCCCTACTTACAAATTTAAAAAAAGAAAAGATTCATGGATCAAAATCGAGGACAAAATCTCATCTCACTCTCTTGAGAACGTGACAAATGTGGACTTTGGAAATTCATCACTAAGATAAGATTTGACAACTTGAAATCACCACACCACAGAGTTTGAAGAGGGTTTGAGAATTCTAACTCTAGATTACCTATGAAGCCTCAAGAGAGATCCGTGAAACGGAAACTTTTCTATGTTTTCTAGCACACTAGACACTACTAACAAAAAGATTCTGTTCCATAGAGGAACTCTCACGATATTTCAAATAAACTTTTCTATATTTCACCACACCACCCCAACAGAGTTTCTGTGTTTTATCTAGCTCCTTAAATAAAGAGCAGTCAAAAGTTGTTTGAAATCATTAACTTTTATTTATTAACTATTGTCATTACGTGGGAAAATAAGAGTCCGTTTGATAACCATTTTAATTTTAGTTTGTATTTTTTATACTATTGTAGATAAGAAAATAAGAATGGGAGTGAGAGTGAGAATGACATTGAGACTGAGAGAGAGGATGAGAGGCGATGATGGGAGGGATGAGTAATAAAAGTGAAAACAATTTCAAATAGGTTTTAGCTTTTAGGTTTTGTTTTCACTTTACTCCTTCCTCTCATCCGTCCCCTCTGATCTTCCCTCTCTCATTCTCACTTCCATTCTCCTTTTTTTCTTTCTCTCTATACGTATCCAAGTCCATATGGGAGTATTACATTTCGTTCCTTTTCAATTTCTTTCGTTTTTGTCTATAGATATTGTGTGTTGATTTGTTATGTGCATTTCTAAATAAAAAAATGAAAAAAAAGTTACAATTTTTTGGTTAGTTAATAGGTCTTGTCAAATATCAAACAATGAGATCATTGCTTTGCAAATTGAAATCAAAATATTTAATATAACTGCCATGACCTCTAATGTACTAGCATGCTAGGCAAGTTGCATGAATTAGATGGAATTGAACTCTTAATTAAATATTTTAAGCCTAACCCATGTTCCCATACCGCATTCATCACGTTTTTAATCGTACCCTAAATTATGTCACTCAATTAAGCTAAAGATCATGTACCTTTACATTTTCTGTTGAGAAAAGTAAAGTTTAGCAGAAAATGTGGAAAGCCATCGAATAAAAACATAGGTCTCGATTATTATTCCATTTATATCTTAAGGTTATTGTGTAGTACCGAACATGTGTGTAAATTAAGAATTATTTATTGGAAACAAAAAGATTTATTCCCTCCACTTGGAGGAAATAAATAATATGCTAATTACTTGTACTAATTAATAATCAGAGATCAATTTTAGTAGAATATTAATTATAAAAAATGACAAACTCCCCCCCAAGACCTACATGGATCTGAATCCTGACCGTGTATCCAAACTTTTCCAAAAATAAAATCGGGTGACGAGTCTACAAAATCTTCCAATCATATATGAACACTACAGGAAATGGGCCCACATTGCTCCAAAAATCAAAGCTCGTGCCTCTCTCTCTCTCTCCTATATACATAAGCAGCATCCACCCAACGGTACCTGCTATAGAGAGGTAGATGAGGACCTAGACTTTCACTTCTCCTCTCTTCCTCTCTTCTTTCTCTCTTCTGTGCTGCTACAATGGCGACGTGGGCTACCTTAGACTGCTCCTCAGCCCAACTGGCCCAGCTGCTGGGCCCCAACACCACCGATGCAGCCAACTTCATCTGCTCCCAGTTCACCGCCGTGTCCTCCAAGCTCTCCGACACCGCCTACGCCGTCGACACCACTTACCTCCTCTTCTCCGCCTACCTCGTCTTCTCAATGCAGCTCGGCTTCGCCATGCTCTGTGCCGGCTCCGTCCGCGCCAAGAACACCATGAACATCATGCTCACCAATGTCCTCGACGCCGCCACCGGCGGGCTCTTCTACTACCTCTTTGGCTTCGCTTTCGCCTTTGGCGGCCCCTCCAATGGCTTCATCGGCCGCCACTTCCTCGGCCTCAAAGACATCCCCTCCGACTCCTTCGCCTACACAATGTCCCCGACGCCGCCACCGGCGGGCTCTTCTACTACCTCTTTGGCTTCGCTTTCGCCTTTGGCGGCCCCTCCAATGGCTTCATCGGCCGCCACTTCTTCGGCCTCAAAGACATCCCCTCCGACTCCTTCGACTACAGCCACTTCCTCTACCAGTGGGCCTTCGCCATCGCCGCCGCCGGCATCACCAGCGGCTCCATCGCCGAGAGGACCCAGTTCGTCGCCTACCTCATCTACTCCTCCTTCCTCACCGGCTTCGTCTACCCGGTCGTCTCCCACTGGTTCTGGTCAACAGACGGCTGGGCCAGCGCTGGAAATACCCAAAACCTCCTTTTCGGATCCGGAGTCATCGATTTCGCCGGGTCGGGTGTGGTCCACATGGTCGGAGGCATCGCCGGCCTCTGGGGAGCGTTCATCGAGGGTCCGAGAATCGGCCGGTTCGACCACTCCGGCCGGTCCGTCGCTCTCCGCGGACACAGCGCTACTTTGGTAGTCTTGGGCACGTTCTTGCTCTGGTTCGGGTGGTACGGGTTCAACCCGGGTTCTTTCACCAAGATCCTGAGTCCGTATGGGACCGGATCCATGTCATATTACGGGCAGTGGTCGGCGGTGGGCCGCACCGCTGTGACGACCACCCTCGCCGGCTGCACTGCCGCTTTGACAACTCTCTTCGGAAAGAGGATCCTCTCGGGTCACTGGAACGTAACGGACGTTTGTAACGGACTTCTCGGCGGCTTCGCGGCGATTACTGGGGGGTGCTCCGTCGTAGAGCCGTGGGCAGCAATCGTATGCGGCTTCGTCGCCGCCATCGTTTTGATCTCGTGCAACAAGTTGGCCGAGAAGGTGAAATACGACGACCCGTTGGAGGCGGCGCAGCTCCACGGCGGATGCGGCGCGTGGGGAATTATCTTCACGGCGCTGTTTGCTACCAAGAAATACGTGAACGAGGTGTACCCGGGAAAACCTGATCGGCCTTACGGGTTGTTCATGGGCGGCGGAGGGAAGATGCTGGGGGCCCACTTGATACAGATTGTGGTGATTATCGGGTGGGTCAGTGCCACGATGGGGCCCCTGTTCTTCGTGCTTCATAAGCTGAAGCTGCTGAGGATTTCGGCCGAGGATGAGATGGCGGGTATGGATCTGACCCGGCATGGTGGGTTTGCTTACGCGTACAATGACGACGAGGACTTGCAGAAGCCAGCGGCGATTCAGCTTAGAAAAGTAGAACCAAATTCTTCTTCCACACCCGCTTCCGTTTAGAAGCTAATCTCCTCTTTTTTTTCTTTTTCTTTTTTTAATTTTATGGGTTTGATATTTTTTAATAGTAATTGTTGACTAATTATTATATGTAGGATTTGTGTAAAATAATGGTTTTTTTTTTTTTTGGGTGTAATGGGGTGGGTAGTTGTGGTTGATAATGATTTGCACGTTGAAGATAAGTTTGTGTTGGATTGAGATTTTACCTCTTTCTTATTTATGTAAATTATTATTATTATTATTATTTATGTGGTACTTATTTGAATATTGAAAATGTACTGCCTTCGTGAGCAATTAACTATTCTGGGAAATGGGTACAAGTGCTTTTGTTTGATCTGCTTTTGTTAAAAGCCAAAAGAAGTGTGGCTGGCTTTGTTTTGTGACTCTGAAAGAAATGGGCAGCGACAAAAGAACAAAGCAAATCGAGGAATCAATGCGAAACATTTTGGATTCATTCAATTGATTGAATTCTGACTTTAACTGAAATTATTGAGTATGGGGGCCGGGGCCAGGGCCAGTATACTTTTGGCTGAGAATAATCTTCTTCTGACGCCACAAAGATGGAACTTGGTTGGAATGTCAAACCAGTATCCGGCCTGTGAACTTGGAGTTACCATGGCTTTGTTATATTGTTTGTAGTGTCACGTCTCATAAAATATGATTTTTTTTGTTTGATACATATGGTTAATATGTAATTATTTTTGTAAGAGTGACGAGAAATAGATACATAATTATATTAATTATGAAAAAATTACTTCATAAGAAGATTAGTTTAGAAGCGAACGTTATTTGCACCATCGACTGTCCGATTTGCATAGAGTTTGCACTTTATTTTTTATGCTCTCTTTGTCATAGATGCATCAGCTTGTTTAGCAAATATATTCTTCCATGGAATGATGATGTCATGTCGGCATGATATAAAGGAACTGGGACTATCGTGGGATATATAATTGCTTCCTATCATCCTTCACTTTGTTTTTCCAATCCAATCTTCTGTTGAATATTGACTTGGTGATAGCCTTAAGTTATTAACAATGAATTAATTAGTTTTCTTAAAAGAAAAGTCTAATTGGGAAGGGGCAGCCTAAGTTTGGAATTTAAATGAAAACTTTAGCAAAATGATGATCTTTGTTTTCGTTTTTTTGATGTAAAACAAAACAAAATGATCATTTTGACGTGGAAGATGGATATTATTCGTCTCTTTTCCTAAACGTCACAAATTGGAGAATATACAAAAGGTAATTCATAAAAGTGAAAAAAAAACACAGGCGGCACTAGGAAAGTAGGAGTTCTTCTTTTTTTATTTGTTAACATAAGCGATAGTCTAAACTACAAGGGAATTGAGGTTTCTCACGCACGCATTATCGAGATGTCATGGAATTACAAACTTAAGACCACTAGTCTGCAAGTCAATACCCTTTTCAACTGAGTTATACCCCTTTGACAGAAAGTAAGAGTTCTTAATCCAAACAGATAAATATTTTGGAATTTCACACACACACTACCGGGATATCATTGAATTTTAAACTTAAAATCATTAGTTTGCAAGTCAATTTTCCATTCGATTGAGCTATACCCCTTTCACGGAAAGTATGAATTCTTAATCCCAATAGACGAGTATTTTCCCCGAATAAATGATGCAGACTGGCTTGGAAATCGATTATAATTGCAATTGGTTGCATTAAAGAAGAAATGCGGTCAGTCAAATACGCAAGTGTGAAAGACATAAACCCGAAAGCTACCAAAGCAAAACGGTGGTGGGTTGGTCTATGACATTGACGACGACTTTCAACGTTGCCTCGTAGACTTGGAATTAGAAAAGTCCAAGGATCCACAATTTATTTCTGCAAATATGTATGGCCGCCCGCCACCATCCTTGTGTTGCGAATTTATGCTTTAACTATTTTTCTCACTTTATTTAACAACATACTATAGGTCTTAAGTTCGAATTTTCTTACTTCCAATATTATTTGACAGAAAAGGAATGAAGATGAATTTTTCGAAGTTTTCATAATTCCCTTATGAGAGTTTATGATATGAGGGTTTCTCTTCCAAATTTTATATTGAATATTGATGATCTTGTATGCTTACGTCTTGAAGAAAGTTCGTGAGTATGTAGTAGAATTTTAATTTTGACTGAAGAGGAGAAGAAGAAAGTGACATTTTTGAATCATATAGACATTTAGTCTAGCTGTTGAAACTTGCAAATCATAAAGCAAAGTTGAACATTTGATGTTGTTGTTTGCGATGGATTCAAATGTGAATGCATTGTGTGTACCTTTGGGAAATTTTGTATTCCCATTGGGTTTGCAATCTGTCATTCTCTAGAACAAAGTCATTTCGTCAACCTTACCCAAAGAGAGAGAAAATAAAAGGTCATTTGATTAAGGTTAAAGGCACAGAAAAACTTGTCCTTTACCCATAATTTAAGAAGTTCCCTTTTTCACGATCACAATTTCTTGTACTTGACAACCGCATGAGACTCTCTGGTGGTAATTTTAGGTTGAATATCTTATCAGCTAGTGGTGATGGGAACTGCAGTTTGAAAACTGGTTTCTTCTCTAATCTTTTGAATTATATTTTCTCCTTTTTCCATTGTGTGTGTGTGTGTTTTATTTCAATAATTTAGGCTCACAAAATATTTATTTGGACTTTATTTGTAAAAGTGGGATATGGTTATAACAAAACAAATGAGACGAAGAGATCCCAAGTTTGATTTTTCCCTCTATTATAAATCAACGAATTTTAGTTGTTTTCTTCTAACCCCAAATGCATTCCTACATAACGAGCTTCGACACGAAATAGAATTTATATATTGATTATGCTTTTTTTCTTGACAATATCTGATTTCATATCTACAATCTTTGGAAATAGTAAAGAACAAGTTTCGTTTTTTATTAACTATTAGTTACGAAAATAATAAGGGGGTTGGGCAGCAGTCCAACAGATCAGAGACCTTTCTTAATTGATTAGATTCATCATAGATAAGGCGAAAATCCAGGGAATTAGCCCTAAACAATTATAAGTGGCCATGATTTTTCTGGTATTAAATATTAAAATTTTGATTCTTCCAACAATTATTTTACTAATTTGATTCAATTTGGTTAATGCAGTTATTATATTAATCGGTTAATACAGTTTGTTTGCTGGATTTGTGTTTGATAGTAAAATGAAAGTTGGTGAACATATCGTTGGTCTCCGTACGGTTGCTATGATTTAAAGGAAAAGATTTTTTAATTACAATTAGAATCGGCTAGTAGCCCAACTTATTTTTGTTAGAAAAAGACGATAAATTGTATTTATAATTAGGCATAAAAGGCATTAGTCACAAGGATTAACACAAATAATCGCATGGTAATGTAAATATAGAAGCATAGTAACAAAAAGGGGTCAATCCAAATAATGCAAAGGAGTTCACTAGCAACAATAAGCGCACAAGGAGTACCTCCACTCATAGCCACACAAGGTCTAAGAAATTCCGGCAAAAAAACCGCAAGCTTGGATAAATTAGACATATACCTCAACGCACCAAACTACAAATGCAACAATAACTTTCTAACTCTCACAAATAGAAATAAAATTCGATCTACCATCACGTCATCACCAAGACAGCCAATTAGCTACCAAACTCAGCCAAAACGAAAGGCCTTGAGGGGATGGGCGAGGAGCAGAGGTGGAGAAGGGAGGGGAAAGTCTAGGAAGGAAAGGAGGTGAGGAGGAGAGGGATGAAGATGATCCGCCGGCGGCTGAAACTTTTCTCTCTTAGGATTATCTCTCTTATGGTTTAATAATGAAATTGCCCAACCATACTACTTTAATTGTGCATTAACAATTAGCTTTTTAATGTTATTTTCTCTTAAGATGTCACAAATTTAAATTCTCCTTCACACATTAATAAGAAAAAAAATATCGTACATCGCTTGTTTACTTTTAGGAATGCTGACCAATCAACAAGATATAAAGGTTTGACTCCGTACATCAAGAGAAAATTAGAGGATAATATTCAATTAACAAATGGAGAAATGAAAAAGACATAAACGTAAAAAAGGAACCAACTTTGGAACAATTAGTTTTGCTTTGTATAAACAAGAAAAGGGATAGTTTTTAGCCCCATGAGGAGAGTTCTGAATTTGATTTTTATTTTTTGCTTTCTATTTGATATAAACAATCCATAGCAGCGCCCTATTATGCGACAACCGTGAATTTTTTCGAAATTAGTCCTTTCAGGAACATCCAATTAATTATTTATAAGTAAAATACGTTTATATTCTAAATATTGTGCTTCCTAATCTTCATCAAACCCAAAAAAAAAAAAAAAGGATAAAGAAAAGAAGATATTTGGCTTCATACCGGCTAAGATTCATTTTATATAAAATATCTGCGAATTGCTATACATTATTGATGTATGTCTGTCAAATAAATATGTCATTCATGGTTTATGACAAAGTCATGCAACGACTTAATGCAACTTGGAGAAAACAAAATATGTTCAGCGATCTCGTAGTTATGTCACACCTACGTATGTACATATTTATAGAAACTCTTGTAATCAAGATAATAACGTCATTTCTATTCAATTTTCTTTAATTTTGATTTTATTTAATGCTAGATTCGTTATTCTCAAAATCTAATACTTAAAACCTAAAAGCGAAGCGATTAACCTATCCGAGGCTAGCAACCATAATTCTACATGAGGATTTCTTGTTGAGTAAAAACTATAAAATAGAAAGACTTTGAGGTACGATCAACGGCGGATCCAGAAATTTTTTAGCGGAGGTGCAATATTGACTAAGTATGAAAAATGATTTTTCGGAATAATCATTTTCTCAAGATAATTTTTGGCGGCTTTTGTTCATTACACATCAAATAAGAAAACTTGATTTTATGGGATTTTAGTATGAAGTATATATTGACTTAATGAGCCATCATTTTTAGCCTAAATCGTATTTTGCACTAAAACCGAATTTTCATATTTTGATTTGGTGGGAATTTAATTTTCTAGTATTTTTATTTGAATCCAAATCGTACCTCAAAGTCTTTCTTCATATTTCAGTTTTTACTCAACATTTTTACACCATAAAACAATTAACCATGTCAATAAATGACATCAAAGTTGAAAAAAATAAAATAAGTAAAAGGGTGTTTTCTCGATGCATTATCACGTCATGCATATAGAGCTGCATATATTCAACATTTCAATTGTCAACTGTGCATCAATCACAATCTGTAGGATCTGTGCATGGCTGCTCGCTCATGGCTAATTATGCGTACACACATATATATATGTTTAGCAGGTCAAATGTCAACTGCTTATAAACCAACAAAAAGAAGAGGAACCTACTAATTAACCCTCAAAACCTGCTTGCGGGCCTTGATAGACAATTTGCAGATAATTGCATCTTCGTTGAAGTAAAAAGGAAAATCTGTATTTGCTTGTCGGGTATAGCTCAGTTGGTATCTCCATGGTCCATCCATATGGACAGATGTTCGAAATCTCCGGATACCTATTGAATATTTGTGTAAACTTCTCTCCTCCAATTGCTTGTACTTAAAAAAAGAAAAAAAAAAAATAAGTAAAAGGGTGTTTTCTCGATGCATTATCACGTCATGCATATAGAGCTGCATATATTCAACATTTCAATTGTCAACTGTGCATCAATCACAATCTGTAGGATCTGTGCATGGCTGCTCGCTCATGGCTAATTATGCGTACACACATATATATATGTTTAGCAGGTCAAATGTCAACTGCTTATAAACCAACAAAAAGAAGAGGAACCTACTAATTAACCCTCAAAACCTGCTTGCGGGCCTTGATAGACAATTTGCAGATAATTGCATCTTCGTTGAAGTAAAAAGGAAAACCTGTATTTGCTTGTCGGGTATAGCTCAGTTGGTATCTCCATGGTCCATCCATATGGACAGATGTTCGAAATCTCCGGACACCTATTGAATATTTGTGTAAACTTCTCTCCTCCAATTGCTTGTACTTAAAAAAAGAAAAAAGAAAGAAGAAAACATGTATTCACAATTAAAAAGGAAAAAAGATTTGTGTTATGGATTAAACTCAGATTTTGAAGTTCGTTGGAGTTTTTCAAGTGCATGGGTCTTGCAGTCAAGCTTCCTTTTGCGTTTGTAATGTCAACTGGCAAAGTAGGTTGTAGTTTAACCTCATTAAGAAATCAGTTGACTTTATAGCTTGTATGTAAAAATGCTGCTAAACACACCAAATATATTCACCAAATTTAATTTATTGCTTACGTGGCAGTCTTTAGATCGATACATGATTTGAAAACTAGAGAAATTAAGGGCGCGTTTGATAAGTATTTCATTTTTAATTTTTAGTTTACATATTTTTGTGATGGAGTATAGAGAAAAAACAGGTAAAATGAAAGTGAGAATGAGAGTGAAGATGACAGGGGAAGATGGAAGGAAGGATTAACAAAACTAAAAACAAAAACTAAAAAATGAAATCTGTTTGAAATTGTTTTCACTTTTGTTACTACTCACTTCTTATAGAGTCCAATTTTTCTGTTACGCTTTTTCCTGTACCTTCTTGTTATCTTTTTAATTTATTGACACATGTTCCTACACTTAACTTCTAACATAACAGTGTCAACTCTTTTAATAAAAATAAAACAAAGACAAAGCTAATTATTAAAAAGAGAAAAAAAAAAAACAACCACCACCATAACCACACCCACCCGCCGGCGACAACCCCTTTCCTAGCCGTTGCCGAAAGCAGCCCCTCTTCTCTTCTCTGTCCTCCCTCTTTATCAAGCAACACCAAACTCATAAATCTAATCTCTTTTTTTCCATGGCTAAAACCCATTATCCTTTCTCCATGTCATTTCTCTTATCTGTCTTTAACCCAACAACACCAGAAAAAAAGGAGGGAAAAATAACATGGCATCAAATGTGAGATCTAGTAGATCTAGATATGGATCTCAAGATCTCTCTCATAATTTCATAGGCTTAGCTGCAGCAGAGGTTTAAAGGTGAAGGGATGTTGAGGCCACAACACACTATAGTTGATTACACAAAACATCCTACAATTTTGAAGCCCCTTAATGTCATTCTTGTTTGAGGTTTTAACATATGAGATTGACCATGTTGTTAGGGTTTTGAGTTTGGGGAAGAAAATGGTAAAGTAGGAAAAGAAAGAGAGAGAAAAGAGATATTGAGATAATGAGGTGTTTCCGGCGGCAAGGAGGAGAGGGGTTGCCACCGACGGAATGGGGTGGCTGACCATGTTGGATGGGGGGGTGGGCTGAGGTTGCGTGGGTCGATGGGGATGTAGTGGCTGTTGTTTTTTGTTTTTTATTTAATAATTAGATTTGTTTTTGTTTTATTTTTATTAAAAGAGTTAACACTGTTATGTTAGAAGTTAAGTATAGGGACATGTGTCAATAAATTAGAAGGGTAACAGGGAGGCACAGGGGAAAGGGTAACAGGAAAATTGGACTCATTCTTATCATGTCTTTGAAACTCATCCTCACTCCTATTTTCACTCTCATTTTTCTCTATACTCTAACACACAAAAAACTAAAAACTAAAATTGAAATAATTATCGAAGAAAATCAATTTGTTATCATATCCACACATACATGATAATAGTACCTCCATTTTGTACTTCACACTATGATTAAAAAATATAATTTGAGAACTAGAAAAACATAATTTATGAATAAGTTTAAAGAAAAAGAAAATTGAGAGAATTATAGAGGAAATAAAAAACCGTAGAAAGTCCTTATTCTATTTTCTTTTTCTGAGATTAAGGGGCTCAAAAGAGTACAGAAGCCCAAATTATCTGCAGACACATGTTGGCAAGGCGATCTCCACTGGTTGGGTGTGCAAATGTAATCTTTCAGCACACCCAAGCGGTTAAAAATATGTTGTGACCATTGATTTTTCTCCCAGTATTGATTGGGTGGGCCTGCAGCTTGGGATATAATCTGTCGATCAATGCATCTATTAAGGCAAATTTTATTTGTTTTGGTAGGACAATCACAAATCACAAAATGTCACGCATGCGTTCGTATATCGGTCGAGGAAGCTCATGGATTAAGATCCATGATATGAAAGTTTGAAATACTTATTAGAGCATCTCCAATCCAATCCTTTTATAAACCTTTTTCTCAACTTTCAATTTTGGAAAGAAAAAAAAAAAGACATAAAACTTAGCTTCAACAAACAATAGGGATCTAGTCGAGTAGACCTTGACTTGCAAACAAGTGGTCTTAAATTCGAATCATCGCGATGCTTTAATAGTGTATGTGTGAGAAAATCCCAATTCTCCTTCCTAACTTTGGCACCAAATAAAAAAATAAAAAAACTCTTGTCCAAACTCTATCCAATTTGGAGGGAACATATAAATACTATACATGAGTGACATCCTTGCGTAATAGGCCATGTTAATAGGACCTCTTCAAATCAACAAAATTCATGAATTATTGACAAATAATTGGGATGCTTAATATGACAATGCAAAATCAAGTCAGTCCAAAATAGCCCATTTTAAACGTGGAAAGTAAGAACATGTATGAACAATGGTGCAAAGTAGGAAAACCAGACCAGTTCAAGGGGGGTTAGGCCTTCCCTTTCAATCCCCAAAATTGGCCCCATGATGCGGCCAAACGACATGAAAAGATTTTCAAATCAAATGCGTGCACAAAGGACTGTACGTAAATTGTATGATTGGTCAGCAATGGTTCACTATATTTATGAAAAGCTACAAGGTCGATCAACAAATCACAGACCATTAATGACCAAACACAAATTTGATATTTGCACGGTAATGTCTACAAATTTATATACACATGTATTGATTGACACTCATTTTCTCTCCAATTTTCCCAGCAACCAAACAAAACATTACCCAAGAAGAGGCTCTCCAAGTGCCACTCACACTTTTAAAAGTTTTACCAATTTCACTTCTGAAATCCAATCACTCCCTTTTACCCAAAATCCAATGACTCCCTTCAAATAACCCAAATACTCAAACCCAATGTCCCTGCTCCTACCCAGAACACTCCTCCTCCTGTACCCAAAATTGAAAATCCCCAAAATACCCATGGCCAGCAATCTCTCCACCCTCAGCTCCGCAGCCCCGCCCAGGGCTCGCCTCCGAGGCGTGGTGTTTGACATGGACGGAACCCTAACGGTTCCCGTCATCGATTTTGCGGCAATGTACAGAGCTGTGCTCGGCGAGGACGAGTACGTCAGAATCAAGGCCGAGAGCCCTTCTGGGATTGATATATTGCACCACATTGAGACTTGGAGCCCCGAGAAGCAGCGAAAGGCGTATGATATTATTGCCGATTACGAGAGCCAGGGGCTCGATCGCCTCCAGATCATGCCTGGTGAGAGAGTTTTTCTATGTTGGTTTTGGCTTTCTATTTGGTTCCCGGGAAAGTACCGGATAAGGAAAAAAATATAATGTAGCCCTGGTTTCAATTACTTTTTGTTGCTAATTGCACGGCTGTAAATTTAATTTTTTTTTTTTTGGGGTAAAGTATTCCATGTGGCGTATCCATTTATTCCTTGGTGTGAATATGTGTAAAAAAAAAGTGAAAAATTTGAATCTTGAATTTTGATGAAGTTTTGTAAACAAGAGGATGCTTTTGCTTCTTTGGGAGTGTTTTTTTCCCCTTCTGTAGTGAGTGTTTTTTTTCCCTTCTGTAGTGAGTGTTTTGGTGCTTAGTCCACAATTAGCGTGCGAATTTGAGTTATACTGTGCATGAACTTTTGACTTGAGATTGCATTATTCCTTTGCCCATCATCACTTTACAGATGTTCATTAACATTTGGGTAAATTGTGGTGCAGGTGCAGCAGAACTTTGTGGTTTTCTAGATTCTAAGAATATAAGGTCATTCTCAGCCCATGTCAAGTTTTTATCTTCCCTAATAGTCGTTCCTTCTTATGTTGTATGTACGGATAAATGCCTAACTAATGGCTGCGTGATTTTTGAACATTGGCCAGCTAGAGGAAATCCTACTTTCTGGCAAATCAAGTTGTTATCAGTACTAGGGAAGATAAGGAATGTTTGGATTACGAGTGAACCTTATCCTGATTAGGAATTTAAGTTGTCAAGTTGATCTCCGTATATCCCTTTCCATGATCCCTATTATATTTTCCTGGAGATGGTATAAGTTGCAAGCCTAATCAACATGTACTTGGAGTATAGTTGTTATCTGTGCATAAAAGTGACAAAGTTATTTAATTAACGTCAATAGTATTAGTGGCACCTCCTCCCTCTTAGGTACAAGGGCGGAACCTGAGTTCCTGGGTTCAATCTCTAGGGGTTGGAAGTGTAGGCTATATTTATATGCATGCTAGTGAAGCTCCTAATCTTCTTTTGTTTGCAAGATTTTGAATTTTTATTCTAATTTACGAACGAAGGTATGGCGATATGCTTATTGTTTTTATTTGTACTTTTTACAGGCGGGGGTTAATCACACGCAATGTCAAGGCTGCAGTAGAAATATTTCATGAACGGTTCAGGGTAAGCATATTGAAATGCACAAGTCATTGGTTGCACGTAATGAGTTATTCATAAATTACTGTTCCATATTATTTTCTTTTGTCTTAAGAACACGTTACAATTCAGTAGTTTAGTTATTATGTGTTTTTGTTTGGGCAATAAATATGGAGAAGGAATCCAACATTCCAAGCAACATCTGTCAACCGTATACACTAATAAGGTTGACTGTCTGCAATGTTAACATGATAACAGGGCCTCTTTATGCATTAACTCTGATTTGTCTTCAGTTGCATTTTTCCTCTGTTCTTAAATTGCAAAAGGAATTTTTTGTTAATCCCTAATATGATCTTGTTCAAGTCTCCCCCTGAGGAGAATTCAAATTGTTTGTGCTCATACTCATGATGCCTACTTCAGATGTCTGTAGAAAAATATGAGAGACGTGTTTTTGGATTCAATATGAAAGAATCTCCCAGTTTCTTGCATTTTCTTCAACAAATTGTCTATTTCTCATAAAAAGTGGGTTATTAATGTCTTTAGATTAAATCACAGAGAATTTCTCCCTTCAAATGTCTTTAGAATTCCCATTTTCTTGCCATCCCCCCTCTCCCTGTTTTTCACTTTTTGTTATTTTTTGATACAGTACTCATGCTGCCTACGTTTTGGACAACTAAAATATGGTTCCTCATATAGCCAACTTATACTTTCTGCTCTTGCTGAATCAACCCCATCCCTTCTTTCTTTTTTGACTGAATCAACCCATCTTCTCTAGCAATGATTTTCTCGGTGAAATCTAAACAGGAAAAACAATTTTGAAACTCTTTGGGTTATTGTAATCAATGATCATGGATGAGCTTACTCTGATCTGGCTACTTGCTGAAGTCAGTCATCTTTTGCGTGCTCATTACTAATCTTTCATGTCTGTAGATATACCCCGCATTTACTATTTGATGCATCCCACTTATTGAGGCCCTCCAGCCTAACCCATAAATTATTGTAATGTACATTTGGGGCTCATCTCCTTTGTTAACGTTTTTTCTACTCAGTAGTGGACTTTGATATCTTATTTTCTGTGTTATGGTTGCTGCAGTTGACATTTTCTCCTGCTCAGAGCTGGAGAAAATGTCAACTGCAGCAACCATAACACAGAAAATAAGATATCAAAGTCCACTACTGAGTAGAAAAAACGTTAACAAAGGAGATGAGCCCCAAATGTACATTACAATAATTTATGGGTTAGGCTGGAGGGCCTCAATAAGTGGGATGCATCAAATAGTAAATGCGGGGTATATCTACAGACATGAAAGATTAGTAATGAGCACGCAAAAGATGACTGACTTCAGCAAGTAGCCAGATCAGAGTAAGCTCATCCATGATCATTGATTACAATAACCCAAAGAGTTTCAAAATTGTTTTTCCTGTTTAGATTTCACCGAGAAAATCATTGCTAGAGAAGATGGGTTGATTCAGTCAAAAAAGAAAGAAGGGATGGGGTTGATTCAGCAAGAGCAGAAAGTATAAGTTGGCTATATGAGGAACCATATTTTAGTTGTCCAAAACGTAGGCAGCATGAGTACTGTATCAAAAAATAACAAAAAGTGAAAAACAGGGAGAGGGGGGATGGCAAGAAAATGGGAATTCTAAAGACATTTGAAGGGAGAAATTCTCTGTGATTTAATCTAAAGACATTAATAACCCACTTTTTATGAGAAATAGACAATTTGTTGAAGAAAATGCAAGAAACTGGGAGATTCTTTCATCATGTTAAATGGTGCTGAACTTTGCAAAAAGCATTCAGTATGTTGTAATATAACAAATCACATATGTATATACGATCGGTGCTGAGCTCTTATCGCATAACGAAAATGGAAACAGAAGAAGTTAAGGAGTTTCAGAGCTATGAGGTGCTTGATGTAAAAATTGGTAGAACAAGTACCTGGGATCTGCGTTGTGCATGGAAGTCTCTTCTCTCTGCTCCCAAGTCCCATCTAACAGCCTCCTTTCCTTCGTTGTCCAAGTGCACAAGGTACTGGTAGCTAAAGCCACGAAAAGAAAGAAAGAAAAATAAAAAGCCTGATTGATATTCTCCTTTGTGTGGCACAAAATTTTCAGATATATGCCAACTCTAAATTGGAGATGAGACTCAGGCGAACTCTAGCCTCCTACTTCCTTTTCCATAAAAACAAGAGTGTCTTCTTTTGTTAGAGAACAGGAACTTTTTTTTAATCTCTGACATCCCTTGCTAATAACAATTTGACTTAGTGGCACGCAATCTTTACTTTGTTGGAAGTCCTCTGAACTCAAATTTCACAGAAGGTTGTTTCTGAATAGAAAAAGAAAAAGATGTCTAAAATCTCTTGTGCAGTAATTAAATGTCGAACAAATCTACCAATCATTCTTTTAAATTATCCCACCAGCATCTGGCAAGGATTTTGTAAAATCATATCATATGGCATATGGGACCAAGTTGGGAATGCTAAGAGCATGTCCAGCGCGCAGCCAAACCAGGGCAAAAGGCCCCCCTCGCAAGCCCAAACCACCTCCAGCGCGCAGCCTTTAGCCCGGGCAAGCCCTGGGTCCCACCAGCCTGGGCAAGCCCAAGAGCAAGTTTCGCCTGGGCTTCAGCCCGAGTTTGGTGATGTCATCGCTGACGTCAACTAGCAAAAAAAAATCCAAAAAATCCAAAAATATTTTAATTTTTTTTTAAATACCAAAAAATTATAGATGTTTTCCCAATAAATACATAACAATTTTATTCACTTTCTAAATTGTTTATATTTTGTTGCATAATCCTTTTTGTCCTTTCTTGCCCTTGCCCTAGCCTTTTGGGGTGGAGCCAAAAAAGGCAAGGCTGCCACTATTTATGTGAATAGTGGCAGCCCTTGCTTGCCCTTGCCCTAGACTTAGCCCTTAGAGCATGTCCAGCGAGGGGCTGAGCCCAAGGCTGGGGGGGGAGGGGAAACAAAATGAAGCTCCAACGGTCAGCCCAAGCCCAGGCAACCTGGAGGTCCCACCAACTCGGGCTTGCCCGAAGGCCAGTTCAGCCTGAGGTCCAACTCGCGGGTTGGGTGATGTAAGCGCTGACGTCAGCGAGTGGAATCAAATTTTTATAACATTGGCGCGTGCATTGCACGCGCCAACGGTTAAAAAATTTGAATTAGCTTGCGCTGACGTCGTGCTGACGTCAGCCCTGCGTGAGCACCAACGGCTAGAAGACAGGTGTCGTAACCTGGGCGCTCCGATCTGCTTCTCTCCTCCAATCCAACGGCTGGCATTTTTTTGGCAATAAAATTATGAAAAAAAAATACTAAAAAATTCTAATTTTTTTTTTTCCTATAAATACCTATCAATACCCTTCACTTTCAACACCAATCCTTATACATTTTATTCTACTTATACTATTATTCACTCTTTATTCAACATTTTCCTCTCTTTCACCTTGTATTTTTTTTTTCTTATTTTTATGGCTTCTTCTATCGAAACCGGAGGCGCGTGGAGCACCATGGAAGATGTTTCCTTGTGTGAGGCTTGGCTCCAAGTTTTTCATTGTCCCGTGTCATTGTCAAGTTCATAATCATACTCATCCTCCACAATCATATTATGGAGGATGATGCAAGTCATCATAATGCTTCTGAGGACCTCCTCATCAAACATACGGGCTGCACCTCGAATAATCAGCCACCGAGCTTGAAGGATGCCAAAACACCTTTCGACATCTTTCCTGTATTTTTCTTGATAGGTAGCAAATAATTTTTGCTTCTGGGATCGGGGATTCGGAATGGATTTGACAAATGTGGTCCACCTCGGGTAGATGCCGTCAGCTAGATAATACCCCGTCTGGTAGACTGTATTGTTGACTTGGTAGGTGATATTGGGGCCTTGGCCTCTCAAAACCTCATTGAAGACCGGGGATTGACCCAGCACGTTGAGGTCATTTTGGGATCCAGGAACTCCAAAGAAGGCATGCCAAACCCATGTGTCGAAGCCAGCAACGGCTTCAAGGATGATACTTTTTTGGCCTTTTCTATTTCCGTAATCACCTTGCCAGGCAGTTGGGCAATTCTTCCATTGCCAGTGCATGCAGTCGATGCTGCCAACCATTCCTGGAAATCCTCGAGCTTCGGCTTTTTGTAGAAGCCGTTGGAGGTCCCTGGGCGTAGGTCTACGTAGGTAGTCCCTAGTGTACAGAGTTTCAACTGCATCACAAAATCTTACCAAAGCCTCCAACGTAGTTGACTTCCCCATCCGGGCAACCTCATCCACCTGATCAGCAGATTTGAATTTTGAAATTCATCCGAAATTTGAACCCAAATTTATTCGAAATTTGAATTTTGAAATTCATCCGAAATTTGAACCCAAATTTATTCGAAATTTGAATTTTGAAATTCATCCGAAATTTGAACCCAAATTTATTCGAAATTTGAATTTTGAAATTCATCCGAAATTTGAACCCAAATTTATTCGAAATTTGAATTTTGAAATTCATCCGAAATTTGAACCCAAATTTATTCGAAATTTGAATTTTGAAATTCATCCGAAATTTGAACCCAAATTTATTCGAAATTTGAATTTTGAAATTCATCCGAAATTTGAACCCAAATTTATTCGAAATTTGAATTTTGAAATTCATCCGAAATTTGAACCCAAATTTATTCGAAATTTGAATTTTGAAATTCATCCGAAATTTGAACCCAAATTTATTCGAAATTTGAATTTTGAAATTCATCCGAAATTTGAACCCAAATTTATTCGAAATTTGAATTTTGAAATTCATCCGAAATTTGAACCCAAATTTTTATCTGAAATTTGAATTTTGAAATTCATCCGAAAATTGAACCCAAAAATCTTATCCGGAAATTTTATCCGATTATGAATAGTCGTGACACGTAGGAACCCAGAAATCTTATCCGAAAATATTATCCAAATTAATTATTGAGGTAAAAAAATTTGTGAAAAAAACAAAAAGATGAATAGTAATTGCCCTTAGCCATGGCAACGGGTGGAAACACAAAATTTACTATTTG